AAGGGCCTGGGTCCCAGTCCCAGTACCCACATGCAGCTAACAACCATCTGCACAGCCATTCCTAGAGGATCTGATGCCTTCTTCTGTCCTCCTTAGGCACCAGGCACTTATGTGGCACACAGATATATGTGCAGATGACACTTATTTTAAATAAATAAAGCCCAAGAAACTGGCCACATCCTTACCCACTCATACCATAGTTCTGTGTCCCCTGAAGCCAGAAACTAGTGTGGCAAAGGCCAGGTCATCTTAGAACAGACTTATCATTAACCCCCAAAGAAAAAGAGCACTTGTCTCCAAAGGCCTCATTTGGGATGAACAATACGGAAGACAAATTGGCATCTTTATCCTTAACATCACAGAGCTAAGCTTTGGAGCTGCGGGGAATCTAGGGAGGGACCCCCCACATACACACACACCAGGGACTTGTCAGGAAGAGTTATAAGGACAGAGAACAGACACACATTAGAGTCATTTGTTTGACATCTCTACCTAAGAACTCCATTTCTGGAAGGAGAATTAGTGGCCTAATAACTCTAAATCCCGATTCCCCAAGGCAATTTGCTAATCCCCAAAGGACTTGTCAATACTGTTCCTTGATGGAACCAGAATGTGTCTGAGCTGGAGACATGAAATAGGCTTCCCAATAGGGAAATCATCCCTATTGGACTTTTATAAAGATGTATGTTAATAAAAAATGGTATACACAAGGTTAAAATTTCTGGTGAGAAATAACTAAACAAAGGAGATGGGAGTTGGCCTGAGCAAAATGAACAGTGTTTTAATTCACAGCAATGCTATTTGGTAGCAAAAACACTAGACTCCAGTACAAACTCTAGATCCATCATGAGTGAAGCTGAGATCGCAGACCTCAGTGCAGATCTGTGTGATGGAGAAGATAGAGTGAGCAAGGGCTGGAGAGTTGACTCAACCATTACTGCTTTTGCAGAGGATGCCAGTTAGTTACAGCACCCACACTGGGGAGCTCCAGAGGATGTGACACCCCCTTCTGATCTCTGTGGGCACCTGAACTTCTGTACACAAACCTACACATGCATACCCATACATGTGTGCATAACTAAAAATAAACATTTAAAATGAATGAGCAAAGAACAGACAGAGCCTTTGAGGTAGGGCGGGGAAATGTTTGGGCCCTTGGTCTTCTATGCTAACCATACTGTTCCCACTGTGTTTCCTGGAGTGGAACAGGGAATCTCGTTCTCCTTTCACGGTTCACAGATGCCTCCCCAAGCCCTGGACTTGCTATGACTTCTGTTGTGAAGCCATGCATCCAGGAGTTCTTTTCCACCTTCAGGCCCCTGCTGATGAAAGGAAAAGCATGAGTAGATTCAGATTTAAGGGCTCTAAAGCCCAGTAATTCTGAAGGAAGAGCCTGTAATCTCCATGGCCAGAAATAGACATTTCAATTATGGTTTCTGGGAGGGCTCTCAGAGGGCCTGCCCGTGGTATATCCAACATTACTTTCTCATACTATTTCCTCCTTGCATGTATGATTTATATTCTGCTGGAAAATATCAGAACTGTCCAGAATTTCATATTTGTTATTGTCAAGGTTTATTTTTAAAGTAGTGCTGTGTTTGGCTGTAACATAAAATATGTGAGGGGGGAAAATGAATCCTATATGAAGCTAAAATCAAAGGGTATAATTAACCCCAGGGGTCTTCTTAAAGCAACCTGCCTATGGCTGATGAATGGCAAACCAACATTTACAAATAATTACAATATTGGTTTTTCTGAAATTACCCATAATGGTTTCAGTCACAGCAGCAGCCACCCCAGAACCTTGGGACCTCCTAAATCATTCCCTCTGCTAATGTGTTCATTTAAGCAGGGAGCCTCTTTAACTCTGAGGCCCCATTGTCTCTGCAGTGACCTGCCCTCACCAAGCCTGGTTTTGTACAGACAGGAAAGTGTTGTTGGCCCCGTTCCTAATCTATAAAAAAAAAAACACATAGCAAGCATGTGAAGATTTGTAAGATAATTGATTTAACAACCCCTTTTCCCCAATCATAATGTACTTACAAAAACTAGTAGGACCAAAGCTCTTCCTTAACTGAAAATGATCTTTCTTCATGGGTACCATCATAGGAAAGGTTATGCTACAGCCCAAGGACCCCACTATATTTTTAATGGTCATAACTATATTTTTTTTCATTTTTCTAGAAAATCATGTCATTCACCTTTGAAATGTCATTGCCAGATAGACAACTTCTAGAACTCAATATAACACATATTCGTGTGATTAATCATAGGCAAAGCTTTCTAAATGATACCCTGAATACTATATGATATAAAATGTTCTGCACTCAGAGAGAAAATAAGTATGTATCAGAGTAACCTCATCAGACAGAATGATAGCTAATTCTCCTGTTTTGAGTAGGGTGAACAATAGAGCTGTGGTACAATTTTAGGGGTTGTTCTGACATTCCATATATTTTTCTGAAACAAATTCAGAGATAAGAGACTGCCTTCAGCAGGACTGCTGGGTTCTTCAGGGACTCCTGGGAGAATTGCCTGTTCATTTATATGCCCTTAAAGGGACTTGGGAGTCTCTCTTCAAAGACAAGAATACTCTTAAAGAAAACTTTTCAAAATTGTAAAGCAAGTAGTTGACAGTGGTATGCCTTCGAGATATTGAGCTGTTGGTCTTAGGGTGTGTCTCCTGAAAAAAGTTGGCTGAAGGCCATTTATTGTGTCTTCCACCCCCCATGGTGTCAGGAGGAATAACCAAGGCAAAGTTGGTAATCCCGTAAGTCCACCCATGCAAGAATGGCTGAGGTCAAAGGTGCCTTAGAGTTTGATTCTGTACCCCCTTTTTGCAAGAGTGGAAACAAACTAAGGCAGATGATGTTTTATACCTCTCACGAGGCAGAGTTCAGAAGAGGTATTTTGGGCTGTTGATTCTCTTTTAAATATCCACAGAACTCCATCCTGAGAGGAAATAGTGAAGAGGATCTGGGTGGACTACCCTCCACCTAGCTCCAAGAATGCCTCAGGCAATCACTTGTGAATCTCCTCCTTCCTTAGCAGAGAGATACCCAACTCAGTCCATATTGTGATTCTCAGTGCAGAAAGCTATAATACTATTTCCATTCAGTCCTTGCCACCAACTATCCCTGTTTACTTGGGCCTAATATTTAAGTGTCCATGGGATGAGGTGATCACCTTAATTCTGCCAGAGAATAGAACTTGTTGAGTTCTCTCATGGGTCCTTTGGCACTGCTGTGTTCAGCACTGTGGAATCTACCAAAAGGCTCTATGTTATTCTATAATAGACTTCACTTTGAATCCCACTGGACATTTATAATGGTGTAGACACCAATGACTTATTGCCTAAGGTGATAGAAAAGCTCAAAGGAATTTGAAACACCTACATAGGTTGACATATTCAAACCAGGTGTAAATGCTTCCTTTAAATAACTTGGGACAGTGGCTGCACTCTAGTTTAAAAAAACAGAACAAATATTTTTTCTAAAATCTATCTTTGTATTTCTATTGTGTGTGTGTATGTGTGCATGCATAGGTTCCTTAAATTCCCAGTTGTAGAGAACAGATATTAAGACTGACTCTTCCTAAACAACCTTCAGACATCAAGATTAGGAGTCATCCCTGTTGCACTGAATGTTCATCTTCATTTCTCCCCAGTTCTCAAAGTCCACCCATAGACACATCTCACCAAGGATTCCTGTAACAGCATGAGTCTGGGTTTCTAACCAGCTCCAGATAGTGTGCATGTTGTGCCCCAGGGGATGCCTAGTGGGGCTCTGGGTGGCTTGTTCTCTCTGCTTCCACCTTTGAATTCAAGGGAGGAGGCTCCCAGCAACTGAACAAGGAGAGCAAGCTAAACTCCAATTTTGCCAGCAGCCTTCCATTTATGGCCAAGGGTGCAGTGTGAGGTCATTAGCTTCTCTCCCTTGGTGGCAGGTCCTTTCCTGGCTCTCCTGTCACATCCCCTTTTTTTCCAGTAACCTGCTTAGAAAATAAGTGGACTACAACCTCCCCATGAGATGAGGGAACAGATCACAGAGTTTGGTCCTCTCTGGAATTCCTGGTCCTCACAAGCATGGAGTTTTAAGTTCAGTCCTATATTTATTACACATCTTCTCACCTGCTCCTTTAATGTATACTTGCAGTTTCTCTTAAGTAGACCAGCATCATACTACAGAGCGACCGGGACACTCTCTAATTTATCACACACAGGTTCATGTTCCTTCTGTCTCCCACTGGATTCACAATGCTACCATCCAAGTTAACATAAACTCCAAATAAAAAGAAACAAGCAACTTGTTCTTTTCTTATTGTAAAATACTAAAGCCATCCCCCCACTCTCCTCTCACAAAGAAAAAAAAGGCAATAATCGTTGCCTTAATACATTAAAGAGCCAAAGATTATCGCTCACTTGACTGAGCCGTAAATGTAGTTACATTCACAGGAAACTTGCCCATGGCAATTCGTGTTTTATTTCGCCACAATTGGAAACGTATTTTTAAGTGATCCTAAGCAATAAAATTTAATTCATGAAAAGCTAGTTGCAAGAACACAGCGTCATTCACTCCCATCAGTGACCAAGCCCTAGGGACTCTAGGGTGAGTTACGATGTACCCAAGGATAAAACACAGGGCTATTCTGAAAAGTAATTCCATGTTTTAAAATTTCCTATTCAGACCTGCTTACATATTTCAGGCAACTCTGTCAAGATATGTCAGGTTTATAGAAATCAAACCTGCAGAGGTGGGAGAGACAGGAAAAGAACTGTTCGTAGAGAGTGTTTCTCAGAACATTCTCACAAAGTACCCTCAGCTAAGACTGAATGAGGCATCCAAGTGGGGTTCGGAGTTCTAAATTCATTGCTTTTTAACCATTTGAATTTCTGGAGAAAAAAAACAAAAGCAAGAAAAGTGCCCAGCCCCACCTCATCATGCCTTCCCACTTCTCATTCCGTGAACCCAGATTTCATGGGAATTTACTGGCTATTTCAGGGGAACCCAGTGCACCCAAGCTGGAAGGACAGATGGGAGAGGATGGGAACTCCATCAAGGTGAACCTGATCAAGCAGGATGACGGAGGCTCACCAATCAGACACTATCTGGTCAAGTACAGAGCGGTGAGTAGCCTCCATCCTCAGACCCCTCTTCTCACCCTGAGACCCTGACTCCTACCTTGTTGGACCAAGAACTGGAGAATACCAGGTGAGGCGAGGGTAGGACAGGCTCCCACTGGGCATCTTGCAGTAGACTCATAAAACTTGGTTAAGGTTTTCAATCCCAAGACTAACCTACAGCTGTTAGGCCATGCCCACAGTGGGACCATTTGAAAACTTCTACTATGATTGGGATGGTGAGAACATCACCATATTTCCAATTCTTTCGGTTTTTTTTTTTTTTTTCTACAAAGTGTGCGGGGCTTTTTTTTTTTTTTTTTTTTTTTTTTTTTTTTCCCATAATCCAGAACTTCTGTGCAAAACTGTCATGTTGCCTTCTAATAGTCATCACTTTTAATAGTGTGTCTCCTGGACCAAGTGCTGTATCCAGACATATCTCCTGCACAGAACCCTATGAAGTGGGTGTTACAGTTAGCCCCCACATTACAGATGAAAAACTATGCAGCTACATTAGCCAGTAACTGATGTTCTCACGCATATGGGTGAGGCCAAGTTTCAATCTAGTCCCATCTAACTGAGGAGCATAGGCTCTCGTCTGGCTTCCTTCAAGATCGGAAGCTGGGTCTACTGCCTGCTCTTCCAAGCACCTCAGCTGGGCTAACTGCTAACAATCAGCTTGACTCTGAGCTTCCCTAGTGGCTCACTCACCACCTAACTAAGATCTCTACTAGTCCATCTTTCATCCCCACCCCCCAAACTGAGAATCACTCTCTTTTTCCAGTTTCAGAATGACATTTGGCAAGCAGTTGCGGGGGGGGGGGGAGATCCTCTGGGTGCTGGGAATAACCTGTTACTAAGATTTCTTAGTAGTTGAAGGTAATGGACCAGAGTACAGCTTGCTTTCTCCATGAAGCCCCAAATAAGGCTTTTTCCAGGAAGTTTGCTCATCCCTGCCTCTCTTGGGAACAGCTCCTACAGAAATGGCATGTGGGTCCAGCATAGAGCCCTAGAGGCATGCACACCTTGCATCAGAGAAGGGGGCATGATACTGATGGACAGACATTTGTCATCTCCCCCAAATGATTCTCAGAGGAGCTGGCTATGAGCTGGCATAGTAGAAGAAGCCTCAGTAAACTTCCTTAAGGATCAGCCCAGAAATACAACTATATAGAAGGTCCTGTAGTTTCGTTACTACAAGGAAGGATGTCAAGACTTGCCAGGTGGCTCTAAACAACCTAGTTGGAGCAGGTGCCATGTTAGGGTAGAATGCCTCTGGCCATTACAAGCCTGAATGGCACCAAATTCCAGCTTTGCCATTTGCCAGCATGTGATATGAAGGACACATCATCTCATCTTCCCAAACCTCCTTTTTCCCGATCTGAAAAATAGGAATAAAATAACTTCATCTGACAGATTAGTTATAATATATGTAGGAATCCCAAAATGTCCCAGACACTTTGAAACCACTGTAAATGGTAACTAGGATGCAGGACCCAGCTAGAAATCTCTCCATAGGAAGACAACCTCAAGGTCTGTTTGCCTGATCGGTCACTGCAACTGTGTTTAACAGGCAGAGGAACAAAATGCTGAGCTATTTTAGATTTCAATGACTTTTAACCATCCTCTTCCACTTTGAAGCTTCTTGTTTGCTAAATGCAATCACATACTATTAATATGTATTACATAGCATAAAGTTTGCTTTCCTGAGTGTTTGCTTCCTTGTCTGGTTGTCTCTTTTGTAATGATGTTTGCCGAGGAAGACAGAGAAAGAAGAGCAAAGAGAGACAGCCCAGCTTCTTTGTTTTAAATTAAAACAGCACCATAGCAACATGTGCAGAGCTAACTTACAGAACAGCCCAGGCTGCCTGTTTAGATTATAGAACACTAGAATCCCCTCTGAGCAATTTCCCACAATTCTTACAGCCCTGGAATGAGCACTAAAGGCATCTCATGTTTGTGGCTGATCAGAACTGCATTGCCCCATAAAACCTGTTCCTCCAGCCCCACACCAGGACCTGCAGTGGTCACCTCTTTCCAGACACTTTTGCCATGTTTTACCCCCATGTTCAATGCATATATGCCAACCGCCCCCCAACACAGGTGCCCAGCATGTACCTGAGGCATATATGGCTTTTTAAAAGGCCAGAGACTATGACTCACAACTAGAAATCCATCTAGGAGGACTTGAGGCCTCTCCCAGTTTTGTTATGCAGGTGGTTGCCTAGCAATGGCTTTGGAAACTCTCTTCCAGTACAAACTCCTTGGCAAGCATGGATGATACACCTAGAGGGAAGGTTGAGTGGAAAGGAGGCAAATCTACAGAATTCTGCATCTCTACTTATACCCTGGCAAAGTATTTTCTAAGCACTGTGGGATAATACTTCACGTGAGCCCAATGAACATCCCTCATTTGTTTAGCCAAGTCACATGATAGGGAATAGAAAATTGAAGTTCAGTTCAACTCATGTTTGCTGGTCCCCCTGTTATGAAAGGTAAAATGCAGCCTTGGGCTTGCACAAGCTGGGCTCCAACTTTGACTGAAGGGTGACTTTAGGAAGTCACCTAACTTCTTACTTATGCCCCTGAAGTGATGCCCAGAAGGTTTGTCATAGGGAAGTGATGAGAAATGGTATAGGCAGCCCTAACTGCAGAGCCTAGTCTATAGAAGATACTCAGTAGATGATGGCTTATATTTTTAGTAAAATTGGAATCTATATGATATTTGCCTGTCAGAATCTGGGCAGCATTCAAAAACATAATGAGAAACATTTGTTTTAATTCCTCTAAGAATGCATATACCTAGCATTCCAGAATATAGAGGGGATAGGGTAGGTGGGGAACAGTGTTGGAACCCCTATCAGTCCTGAAGCTGATGGGACAACTTGATGTGGGCAAGCATACTATACTGGGTGGATACCTGGTATGGAAAATCCTCATTGGTTCCTAGTTTTACGTTTTAACCCCATGGTTTCAGTCCTCCTGAGTCTGCGCCTTTTAGCCAGTCTCTCCAGCATTCTCACTCAAGCTCCCTGGTGTCTTCTGTCCTTCCTGCCGACTGTCCCCAGAAGCTTGCCTCTGAGTGGAAACCAGAAATCCGGCTCCCTTCTGGCAGTGATCACGTCATGCTCAAATCCCTGGACTGGAACGCTGAGTATGAAGTATCTGTGGTAGCTGAGAATCAGCAAGGAAAATCCAAGGCAGCTCATTTTGTGTTCAAGACCTTAGCACAGCCCACAGCCATCCCAGGTACAGCCACCTGTGTTTTCTGTCTGTTTACTGCTTTGAATTAATATGCACACATGCCGTGCCTCCTAATGCGCCTGAACAACCCTGACAACTTGCTTGCTTACAGCCATCCTCATGACTGGTTGCTCATGCCAAGCTTAGTTTTGCCTTAGCCCCATCTATGCAGTGGGTTGACATGTATGAGACCCCCCCAGGAGAGTTTTACCAAGCATCCTGGGGGAAAGGTCCTATCTCATTTGGCCTTGAAATATCAATGTTAACCAGTCTATGGGACTTCCTCCAATGGGAAAATGCCCCAACTCCTGCCTTGCCTTCGATGCTGGTTGAACAAGGATCCTTGATGAGACTTTCTCTGCCATCTGCATTCTATACTAGGACCACATAACTGGTTTTATGCTGTTTATATGTGACCCCTGCTTTAGCTGTACAACCATGGTCTAACTATCTTCTCTCTGGTCACCCCAAGAGAAGGAATAGATGGTGCCCAGTGAGCTATACACCTATCTGTAAAGGACCTCTCTCCACTGTGCTAGAGACAAATTGGAAACATAGATCCTGGGAAGTACCATCAATGGAAGGGCAGCCAGTCTGCTAGACCATGGTAGCAGCAGTGCTCCTAGGAGATGCAGATTCGTCTATAGGATCCAGGACCAACTCAAGTGTGGGAATAAAGTGAGAGCTCTGATATCTGGCCCAGATACCTTGTGCTTGTGGCCAGTTCCCTAATTAGGCAAATTCCTCCGAGATGATTCAGCCATCACTTTGCCTTTCCAGAGTCAGCCAGCCAAATGCCAAACACAGGCAGGAGAGATGGTCATAGAGCATATAGATGCAGCCTGTTGGAGACAGCCCCCTGTGCTCTATCATGTCCAGGTGTGTTAGGAAGATAGCCTGAGGCACGCCCACTTGCCTGCCCTATCTGGTGAGCTTACTTAGCTACTGAACTCAGTTGTCAAGCTTGTTCCTCCCTGGGAAAGTCAGGCCAGAAAGTGGACAGGCTGCCTGCCATGTAGGGTTATATGTGCCAAAGTGGGTAGCAACAGAAGGAGATCTTGCTGTGTGATTCTTTATGGTTGTTTGTGAATGAGTGGCTGTTTGTTGGGGGTAGGGGAGATGTGTGAGACCTCCAGTGACTTGGCAGGTGAATTTTGCGCTGTATACCAGGCATGTCAATTGGTTGATTCCACTATGGGAAGGGCTTTCTTGCTCAGTTTAGAATCCCAATACTAGAAGGAGGGGTTCTTAGATGTGCCTACAGGAAGTTGCCCTCATTTTATCTCTATAGGATGTCCAAGTAGAGGTGGCCCTGCTTTTCCTGTGTCCCTTCTTTTCTATGTTCATTGGTTAGTTTTCCTTTGGAATTGAGAGTGTAATGTGTGCTCAGATCCGTGCTTTTGAGCACGGGGGGGGGGACTAGTGAGGCTTAAGTTAAGCCCTTTACTTCAGGCAGTAAGCTAGTTCTTCCCCAAAGTGAAATCTGATGGGCAGCATGCTTGGACATACTATATTCCTAGGCTGGGTACTGCCAGCAATTTCATCTTCTAGGTTTCCAGTATGAGCAAGAAAAATACTAGAGAGTGATTGACCTGTGGAGACCTTGTAAAATATCATCCAGGCTCCCATGTAAGCCAGACAGGGTTAGGAGGTCATTGCCTTGTCCACAATGACTCTGTGACTGCTATCCAAGCACTAAAAGGAGATGGCTCTGGTTGGACTATCCTAGCTATTTTATTGGAATTCAAGAACAAAACCTCTTTGCATTATAAGGCATGGATTTGTGGTAGAATTCTGTGGTCTGCAGGGCTGTAGAAGGTGAGATTTTCAGGACTACGCCAGCATGATGGTGGGGCTTGCACAGTAGAAAAACAGGTCTGCTTTGGCTCTCCAAAGACCACTCCACATCCCCAGTGTTCTGACCGTAATGCAGCCACCCACTGCATCTCAGCCTGGACAAGCAAAAACCTAGACACCAGAAGAGCACACTCATTGCTGGGACTAAGAGGCATCATCTTAGTGAAAGGTAACATTCTCCTGACTTGACCCTACTGTTCTACTGCGGAAGCTCCTGTTCTCTCACTTTAATTTCATTTGCTCGCTGGCCCCAACCCCCAAGTTAACCTGCTCTGCTGCTTCTGGCATTGCTGACCCGCTGACCCGGCCTATGATGTTGATGCAGCACTGAACTCTCCTAACGTTTGTCAGCCTAACTTACTAAGTTGAATTAACCTTGGATTCTTGTTTTTTCTATATTTGACCTATTTTTTCTTTCTTTTTTTTTTTTTATCTATTTTTCCCCTCTGTTTCTGTCTCTGCCTTCTCTTTCCTCCCTTCCCATACCCTCCCTATGTCCGTCGTCACACTTGTCACCTTGGACGTCACTGGGACATCCCCACTGCCACATTTATGTCTCAACAACTACCTGTCCTCTGGGACCCATTGCTTGACACCTGCAGCCACCTTGGGAGGAAGTTCCACCTCCTACACCTTGGTCTCATTGCTTTTCTCTGTGGTGACTCTTCTTTTGCTCTGTTAGGAACTTGAAAGCACACAGACACACAGACACAGACACACACACACACACACACACACACACACACACACACACACACACACACCCCTTATAATTGTTTAAAAGCCCAGTTCCTATGAAAATGATCAGTTTTCCCCTCTTTGAAAGATCCTTTCAGGACTACGGTTATCGGGCCACAGCTACTGAACAAGTGTTCTGTGTGAACAAGGAAGATGATTGGAAACACAGATTTACCTCCTGAGATTTTTGTCATTCAGTGATAATTTTCTGTCACTTTGTATGGAGTCTTTGCCCCTTTTTAATAGCAGTAAAGAAAGAGAGAGAGAATTTGAGAGATATTTCTTTCAATACTATTTTCAAAAACAGCATTATGCAAGGTTCATGGAGAGATGCCTCTACTATCTGTTACTTGTGTTTTTGTTTTTTGTTCACAAATACAGCAGAGAAGAATTCTAGACTTCTAAAGCTTGGCTCCTATTGTTAAAGTCACCACATGTGCTCTTCAGTCTAACACTACGCCCTTCCCTGCACCTTTCAATAGGTAGTTAGCTTTGCCTGCATTTAAGTATTCAAACACCACATGTTTAAGTACCCATGTGGTGATCCATCTGAGCACTCTACTGACCTGATAGATGAATTAGATCCCCCTGTGGCCCATGCAGTGGGAAAATTTGAAGTAGTCTATTTTCTGGAGCTGATGAACATTCTGGAAGGTGTTGTAATGCTGGTGTTAGCCTGACATCTTCTGTCTGTCTCTGTGAAGAATGCCAAACTGTGATGTGCCCAATAGGAATGGGCTTTGGGATCTGACTCCCAACAGAGCTCTTTCTTCCACAGCACAGTAGGATGCTTCAGATGAGAATTAAACCTCAGGTCTGTGGTTCAGCCATAACCTACATCATCACCCTAAGTGCAGTGTACTAGGCAGGTTGGAAGCATCCACTGTGAATAGTCACCCTCCCCACCCCACCCCCCATGCTCTAAAGAGCACAAGATAAGGGATTGAGGGAATGCACTGCTCCCTCACAGTGTTAATACATTCAGACAGTCTGCTTGTCAGCACTTCCAGAATGATCCAGCTTCCCTAATGGTCTCCACAGCACTTTTAAAATTATTACGAAGAGCCAGGAACTCCAGTCTGCTGTTGTGCAATGCACTCAGAAGAGGAAATGGGTGTGTCACATCGGATTTGTGAGACACAACCCTGAATACCACCCACTAGTATCAGCGTGTGAAATTTGGGATGGACCTTCTAATGAATAAAACCTCCCTCCCCTATCACAGCACCTGCCATTCTCCCTGTCTCATCTCTGAACATCTCCACGGACATTTAATTTATGTTCTTTTTGGTTCTTTACCTATTTCATTTCTGTGGTTACCTTTTAATGCTCAAAGACTAGCCTTTCCCTTTGAGAATCCACATAACCCTGAGTTGTGGTCTGCAGGCAAAGCCAGCTGTGTTGCTACCTGCCAGCATCCCCAGTGTTCAGCATAGAGGCTTCACAGTGCTCAGCAGCTAAAACTGACAGTGCCTCTTGCTCAGCTTGGGAGGCCTCTTCCCACCAGCTCAGTGAAACAAGATTGCTCTTGGGCACAGAGCAGTGCAGCAGAGAAAAGGGCATGGGGCCTTGGGGCCTGATATGAGAATCACAGGTCAGTTAGGGAAAGCTTCAGGGAAGGCAAGAAAGGTCCCACTGTGATTGTCTTCCGAAGGCCCTGAAGAGATGTCACATGAATTCACTCTAGGAGAACTTGGCATCTGCCTCAGCCTCATCACCAACCCACTCACAGGAGAGGGACAGTGTCAATATTTCTAAAGGGACCTTTGGAAATCAACTCTAAATTTCCAGAGCCCTAGTGTAGTCCTGTACTCTTAGCAGACACAGGACCCAGCTGGAAAACTTTTGGGCTTATTCCAGCCCACTTGTAATGATGTACTCTCCGGGACACAGCTTTAGTGTGCACTAGTCCTGGCCAGAAACTGGGTCCCTCCATGAAGTCTATGGCTCCTAGCCCAGCCAGAAGTCCTTAAGAGGGCAGTCCCCCAGGTAGCCTCAAAGGAGTGAGCTTACCCCCCCACCTCTGCACTGTGAGTCGGTACAGACCATACACCATCCGCTGTGAGGGTTCTCTTCTCATTTTTAGAATATTTATAAAGCAGGTTCAGATCATGTTTTTCTACTAATAAGAATGCTAACATCATTGTGTAGATAATCAGCAAGACTTTATGAAGTTTACACCTTTGCATTATTAAAGGATGTAAGAGTTCATGTAAACTCAACAGCGTGTTTTGATTTTCTTTGACATCTGTGTCCAATACAGTACACCTCATGTGTACTTGACAACTGATTACCAGGCGATCCATTTAAAGGCATAGAGAAATGGTTATGTATGTGAGTTGCAGCCTTGGAGCAAGCCAGTTGAATACCAAAACTGCTTTGAATGCCAAAGTCTCAAGCTAGGACCCAAAGAAGACAGACAGCCCGAGCAAGGCACTGCTCACAGCAGCTCTTAACAAGGAGAATGTGGGAAAGCTGCTCTCCAAAATGTCTCCCTTATGTGCAAGGCACCTAGGTGGGCTTGTCACAGAGGGCAAGAGGAAGATCATGATGAAAATGGACATCTGAAAGGTTTTCAGGTTTTTGTTTTGTTTTGTTTTTTGCTTTTCCTTTTATAACCCATTCAATGAGATGTAGACCTACTGGTCCTACTAGTTTTCCTGAACTAAACTATTCTGTCACACCCACAAGGACATGAATGTCTCCCGACTCCAGTACCCTTTCATCTGTATTCTGGGCATTCCGAGCTAAAATTGAAATTTGTAATTAGGATCAGTGAATGACACAACCCCTAGAGAAGCACTCCAGTACCTGGGCATGGCATCCTAGTGCAGACAGAAGATAGGCTGCACAAGGGATGAAGAATTGTGGCCAGGTGTGGTGGTGCACACCTGTAATCCCAGCTCTCAGGAAGTGAGGGCAAAAGAATTGGAGCCCTGGCCAGTGAGATCCTGTCTCAAAACTCCAAGATTATTAAAAGGAAACAGCAGCCCATATGCAGGACCACCTTTTCTGAGTTGCCTTTCCCTACCCTAGTGTCTAGGGATGGCCCAAGAGCAGACTGGCAAGCTGCTGGAACAGACGTAGCAGTTGATGAAGTACAGTCAACTGACTATGGAGACAGTTGGGGCCAATTCATAAGTACTGTTAGTTGTAGTTCTTGCAGCCAGTCCAAGACCTGGGTAGTCTCAGTCCCTTTGGAGTAAAGGAAACATCAGACAAGGTCTAGTGGTAGAATGGAGTTGCACTTGAAGAACGAATGAATGAGAAGTGCCCGAATGTCAATCTGAGGCTATTGTCCCCACGATGACTTTCGTAGGCAGAACTCTGTTCAGAGTTTTGCTTCCCACAATACCGCTATTTACAAGAGTCAGAGGGGCCAGGATCCATTATGTGAGAGAGTCTATTGGTCAAGGCCTTGAAGGACTGCTGATGGATACCCAGGGGAGCCAGACACAGAAAACCCAGTCAGAAGTAGGAGGCTGGGTACTGTTGGGGTGGGAGAAAGATTTGGTGGACGTTTGTCTTTTGCATGGGTATGACTGTCTGTGAGAATGTTTAAATCTGGGTAAGTCTACAGGTTTTCCTGAAGTCTGATCCCAGCATGCCTGGCTCCCCCACATGGTGAGTATTCCCAGACCCTTCGCCTTACCGGTGGGGCCTGGGGAGGCTGCTATGTCTCAGGAGTTTCATGGATCACATTCAGCCTCCTGGGACACAAAAAGAAAGACTAAAATGAGACCCCAGTTCCCTCATAGTTAATGTCCTTTGGACTTACTCTTCAACTGGGGAGAGGAAATAGAATCATATGTTGGGCATCCCATTGGGCCTGATATTTCTACAAGACCCAAGGCAGTCCTGAGAACCCCATATGGGACCCTGTCTATCATTCTGCCTAGAGCCACAGCACAGCCAGCAGCCTCTGCCTGACTGGGCCAGAAAAGCTTTCAAATTGGTCCAGAGACACAGCAGGGCCCTCCTGGAGTCATTGCTACTCGGTGTCCTCAAACACTGCCTGTCTGGGCCCATTCTGCTTCCAGGATTCATGAAGGCCACTTGAGCATATGCCTTAGGGAGGAGGTTCAGGGAAGGGGGCAGGAATAAAGGCATAGCTCACAATCCCCTCTCTTCATCTTAATTTGTGGGAGCCCCCAGACCCTGTCTCCTGGGTGAGATGAGGGTATCATGCCCCATCTAAAAGATGCAAAGGACCTCTTGTCTCTGGACCAAGGCATAAGAAGGCCTGTGGGAAGGTATCACTGGTCACAAATGTCTTGGTTTTATGCTTAGGGCCCTACTCCACCAACAGGGATGGTTGCCTGTCATAGGGTAAGGGGGCTCATACACAAGCTTGCTAACCACTGACTATGTCTCTCCTACTTAAGCCAATGGCAGCCCCACCACAGGCCTGAGCACCGGCGCCATCGTGGGCATCCTCATTGTCATCTTCGTCCTACTCCTGGTGGTCATGGACATCACCTGCTACTTCCTGAACAAGTGTGGTCTGCTCATGTGCATTGCTGTTAACCTGTGTGGCAAAGCTGGGCCCGGAGCCAAGGGAAAAGACATGGAGGAGGGCAAGGCTGCTTTCTCGTGAGTGCAAACCCCTTGAGTCAGTGGGGTCTAGGCTCTGTCCCAGCCCAGGGCCTAGCCCTGTGCTGTCTGAGAGTACTGTGGTGACCTACCCTTTAGCTTTATTTTTCCCCCCACATGAAAACTCTGAGTGGTTAAACCATCAAAGCAAGTCTCTCTACGAGTGGGTTTAAGGCAAGGTGGGGTTACCAGTTTGAAAAGCAGTGTCTTGGATCCAACCTAGGTTCTAAAGTCTCATAAAGATTTGAAAAAAATCCCCGAGGGAGCCAAGAGAGGGGGCTTGTCAGAATTAGACCTGGAGAGGGGCTATGATGGAGGGAACCAGCATTGGAAGCATGCACTTAATCTCTCGTTCATTCATTCACCACTGCAAGTGTTTATCCTGCAGCTACTAAGGGCAAGACCCTGTATCCTGACTGTATGTTACCAAAGGGAGAAAAATTAATATAGATTCCTCCTCTTAGCAGGGGATTTTGAAGTCTGTGGGTGAGCGAGCCTGTTATAGAAAGCTGAGAAAGGATTGAGTGAGAAGATGAGCTGTTTAGCACTTCCACATGCCAGTAACTCTGTGTGTGTGTGTGTGTGTGTGTGTGTGTGTGTGTGTGTGTGTGTATACGCACATGGGCCTATGTATGTGTATGTACAGTTACAAATGCATGTGTATGCTTACATACATATGTGTGCACCCGGGTTTATTTTGGAGACTTGCCTGTGCTGTCCTAAAACCATTACATGAATGATGGGAGAACTGAGGTAGGGCTGATGACCTTATATACTCTCGGCTAGGCTTGAGCTGAGACAGTAATATGGCCCACTTTGCCAGCCACAGGCCAGACCTTGATACAACTTGCTGCAACTTCTTTTCCTAGATGTCTTTCCTCTGAAGCCACCCTGGTGTTTAACCAGCAGAACTCTCTCCACAGGAAAGATGAGTCCAAAGAACCCATCGTGGAGGTCCGAACAGAGGAGGAACGGACCCCAAACCATGACGGAGGGAAGCACACAGAGCCCAATGAGACCACACCGCTGACAGAGCCCGAGTATGTGGAGTAGGAGGGACTGGCACCTGCTCAGTAGATCCCCAGTTCCGCATCATCACCCTATCCCAACCTTCCCTGCTTCTCACCCTTGGCTCCTGGCCAAACATGGAAGCCACCACTCTGGAGCCCTTGGTCAGAAGATCTCCTGACCAGACAATGCTTGAACCCACTCTCCTTGGAGAGAAGGCATTCGTGCTTCTCCTTGGGTCATGGTGGGTGCCTTGCCAGGTTCTTCACAGAGTTGGGGTTCCCAGAACGACTCCAAAATTCCACACATATCCTAGGAATGTCTTAAAACTCATTGAGAAGAGGACTAGCCCATTTCATTTAGGGTTTCTTAAATATCTTCTACGCTAGAAAAACTGGGAATCTGGTGAGGCTCCCTGGCCCTCTTCTAATCAGAAACCTCAGAGATTCTCAAGGGCTCTGGCCAACCGTGTTTGTCATGCCTGCCAGGCTATCGAGGATCTGACAGATTGAAGGAAGTACTTCTCACAGGAACATACATCTGTGGTTGGAAGAGCCCTTGACACATGGGAGCCATTTGGAGCACTGATCCTCCTCATCTGGCCCCATCCCTGCTTAGAAATAACTGTAAAGTTGCTGGACCCCATTTCTACCAGGTTCCAGAAACCTAGAGAGGTAAATGATGGACATCTGCTGACTCCACTAGAGTGGAGATCCAGGGTAGCGCAAGAGAAACCTTGAGAGATCTGTAGGGGACTGGAGCCCTGTACCGAGAGCTGAGGGGGCATCAGCATGGAGGAAGGCTAGCAGGTCCCTTTGAGACTGCCACGTTCTTTGTTGTCTCCTGTGTCCTCTTCTGCCCGCCTGGGGCGTGTACTTCCTCTTCGTCCTCGTTTCTTTGTGGGCCCATGTTCCTGCCCGTGTATGGTTGCATGCCCACCCACAGCTCCTCTCCTTGGCTCCTATCTAGCTTCTCCGTCATGTCTCAGCTTCATTGTCTATTCTCTTTCTACTTCCTGTCCTCCCCACAGGCTGCCTGCTGACACCACAGCCACTGTCGAGGACATGCTGCCTTCTGTCACCACCGTCACCACTAACTCTGACACTATCACCGAAACTTTTGCCACTGCTCAGAACAGCCCCACCAGTGAGACCACTACACTGACCTCCAGTATTGCCCCACCGGCCACAGCTGTGCCGGACTCAAATTCTGTACCCGCTGGTCAGGCCACCCCTTCCAAGGGGTCTGGTGTCACTGCTGCATCCTCACCCCCAGCCTCGGCCCCAAAGGTTGCTCCTCTTGTTGACCTGAGTGATACCCCGACCTCAACTCCCTCTGCTAGCAATCTGTCCTCCACTGTCCTGGCTAACCAAGGAGCTGTACTCAGCCCCAGCACCCCTGCCAATGCGGGGGAGGCCTCCAAGGTCCCTCCACCCAGTAAGCAGTCCCCTGCTCCAACCTCCACCCCAGCTGGGGCGGCCAGCCCCTTAGCAGCAGTAGCCGCCCCTGCCACAGAATCCCTCCAGGCCAAGCAGGAAGCCCCCAGCACCAAAGGCCCGGACCCAGAGCCCACCCAGCCTGGCGCCATGAAGAACCCACCTGAGGCAGCCACAGCCCCTGCTAGCCCGAAGAGCAAGGCTGCCTCCATCAGCACCACAAACCCTTCCCAGGGCGAGGACTTAAAAATGGACGAAGGGAACTTCAAGACCCCAGATATTGACCTTGCAAAGGATGTTTTTGCAGCCCTGGGCTCTCCTGCTCCTGCCACTGGAGCCAGTGGACAAGCCTCTGAGCTTGCTCCTTCCACTGCAGACAGCGCTATGCCACCTGCACCAGCAAAGACCGAGTACGGCCTCTCTTTGTCTGCTGTCATTGGGTTGTGTCCGTAGTGATGTGTGCTTGTGCTGTGCTATATCCTCCTTGTTTGATGTGTCCTCAGCCTCTTGCAGGGCTTCTATGAGGCAACTGTCAGCCAGGGGCCTGGAATCAGGCAGGAGCAGGGGCAGGTAGTGGGACGGGCAAAGTGGCTGCCTGCTCGCTAATTAGGCCATGTTAATTATGTTTCACCCTTATCATCCTAGCCATGCTTCTGTTTTCTCTGGGGATGCCTTTGCAGTTGAGCCACTGGTGAGCAGAGCTTGAGAAGGCACTGAGGAGGCCAAGGTGCCTTTATCTGTCATCCTGGGCCCAAGTGTGTGTGTACTATCCAGGGCCAGGCCAAGTCCTCCTGAGAAAGACTCTGTTGTATTCAGGAAGAAAGGAGGTAGCCATGGTGAGGTGCATGTGCAAGGGGAATGCAGCCCCCAGACAGCTCTGTCACACACTGGCTGAAGGCCCACCCCTACCCAAGACTCAGACACTCTATGTCTGTCTCCACATTCAACTTCTCAACCTTCAGATTTCCCAAGTATGATGCTAAGTACAATAGAGTCATCTGGTGGCTGCACTGCTCTAGTATGTCTTTAGATCTGACTCTTGTCTTGTGAGACCTGGGAAGATGGAGGCATGCCTAAACTTCTATAGAGGTTTATACATGTGGCTGTCCCATCCAGTCCCTAGTAACAAGCAGGACCACTCTAGCCTCTTGCCAACATGGGTATCCATATTCTCTCACCCTATTCAAGCCACCTAAATCAGCATGGGATGAAGGGTTGGGGGCAGGCAAAGGGGAGGTGGTTTACCATAGGGGTCTCTGGAACCGTACCAGAAGCAGAGCCTTGTACACCCTACTTATAGCAAGCTGAGCTGCCATACTTCTGCTTGACAGGGGGAGAGAGAGGACCTTCTCTTCTCCTGCCCCAGGTTAACTAACACAGGTCCTTTAGGGGTGATCTAGGCAGCAGGAAGAAAGGACTATTCTCTGACTAGATCACCTCCACCAAGCTGTACCTTGAATCGCCTGGTTGCTTTTAAAATCATGGCACCCAGGATTTCTGGGGACACGCCACAGGCATGAGTCATTTGAAGAACTCTGAGGTGATCTTAACCTGCATTGGAGGTTGGATGTCAGAGCTGCAACTGAAGCCCAGCACCGGCCTGAGGAGAGGAGGGGTATTCACAGGGTGGAAACTGTGAGCTCAGTAACACTGTTTCTGTTTCTCTGCAGGAAGGGTCCTGTAGAAGCAAAGTCTGAATCCCAGGAGTCAGAAGCAAAGCCAGCACCAACTGAAGTCAAGACGGTCCCCAATGATGCCACACAAACAAAAGAGAATGAGAGCAAAGCATGATGGGTACCTAGCAACAAGCAAAGATGAAAATAAAGTGACACAGCGGCTTCACCAGAGCATCCCCAAATCTCTCTCTTCCTCTCTCTCTCTCTTACACACACACACACACACACACACACACACACACACACACACTCATTCCTCTAGTGTCTTGCCTTTAAAAAAACAGATAAACATGGGATCGCCTTTTTGTAGGTTTCTAGAAAGGGCTCCTTTGTGGCACACTCACTTCTAAAAAAAAAATAAAAAGAGAGACAAAAAGGTTAAACCCACAGCCAAACTAGGACACTCCGTTCCCTGAAACCATTTAAAAATCAAACAAAAGGACCCCAAATTAAGAATCTAGGAAGCTCAGAAAGAAAAAAAAAATCTAGGTTCAGGAAGACTGCAATTGGTATTACACAATTGGCATAGATCAGTTTCAGAAAAATGCTTCCAAGAGCTCAGACTAACTGAATGAACCAAGTCCGCAGTTTATTTTTATACTTTCAGTCAAGTTGGGACTCCATAGAACCTCACAAAGACGTTATACTTTCTGTTCACTTTGTGTTTGTTAGGTATGCAAAGTGTGGCACTCCAGCTAGCTGCCCTTGGTTCCCATGTAGACCCCTGTTCCGTAGGAAGAATGCCAAATCGCAGCTTATTCGATTTCTTCTGCTGTTGTCTTTCTTCCACTCTTCCTTTTCTTCCTCTCTTCCAACTTTGCTTTCCAGTGTTTACAAGTTGACAGATGTTTGACTCTGGTTGTGTTTAATGTCTGTGTGAAATAGCTGCCTTTTCTTTTGTTTGTTTGTTTTTTCTTTTTCCTTTTGAGCAGCAAGCACCCCATAGAGGCAGGCAGAATCCACCCAGGTTGCTTTTAGCACAGCTGAAGGTGACAAAAGATGATTGTTTACAGTGGCTCTACCCCTTCACCCCCACACCCCCACCAATTCTGATTCGTTGCAGTTTTTACCTGTGTCAAACTGTGGGACGATTTTGCCTTTTCCTTTCCTGTTTGGTTCTGTTGCTATTGTTTCTTAGGGGTAGAGGGGGATGTTAGACCACTTTCAGATTAGCTGCCACCTGCCTGTGTCTGTGACACTGGACCTGCCTCCCAGGTGTCTACACACCGTTCCTATGAAGGACTCTTTTGGCTTTGTTGAATGAAGCAGAGACGATTGTATAGTTGGGGCTGGTCTTGGTGAACACACTTTTTTTTAATTAACCCCAAACAATTTTTTTTTTTTGTAGAAAGCCAAATAAAATATATACATACCATTTCCTTTTGAACCCAGAATCTAGATTTGAGCGGAAGAGCACGTGTGCTTCAGGGAAGCGTAGTGTCTCCTTTTGGAAATCTGTTGAAGTAAAAGTGACATCGGCCTTCTGTTCACTTAGGCAACATTTGTAAAAACAAAACAAAACAACAACAACAAAAATACTGTCTGGAGTTATAATACAACTTTCCTGGATTGGAAACCAAGTGGGGGGGAAATACAGAAACTTTCAGGGGGATGGGAGGGGGGAGAAGGGAAAAGCCAGCCCTTTGTATAGAAATTTTGCTTTTGTTTTTCATTCTACTTTAGAACCGCAAGCTTGTACACTGTGGATGCGTGAATATTTTAGTGTGAAACGTGTTTTTGTCATAGTATTGAAATAAAACTTCAACATAGTTTGGTTGTGGAAGGTATAGCAGATAGTTCAGAAAAAACAAAAAACAAAAAAAAAAAAAAAAAAAAAAAAAAAGCTATTCAGGAAACAAAAAAAAAAAACCGAAATGTCAAAAGGAATCGAAGCCTTTCAACAAAGAAAATGAAATACAGGTGCTGAGGAGGGCACTAAAGCCAACAGAGGTCCATCCGACAGCACAGTTCCTTTCCCAAGTACACAGCAACAAGAGGTTAGGGTGGCACTTTGTGTCCACTTTGTGGGCCACACTCCCCAATGTTCTGACACTTCTGCAGTGTGATCAGTGGCGATGCTAGATTATAATTTCAAACTGTGAAAAATAATGGTCTTGTCATTTACTCAATGTGGGGTTATTTTGCATTTTCTCAGCTCCTGGGGATGGAAATGGAGGATTCCAGAACATTCTGCCTGGCCCGTCTCATCCCAGATCCATAGTTAAGAGCTCCTAAGGAAGAGCTATCAGGAAGACAACCCTGAGGGCACACAGCAGAATGGGAGAATGTGGGTAGCACCTGAGCCAGAGAGGTCCTAGTGGTGAGGGACAGACTCCTCTAGCCGTAGCCTGGTCAGTGGAAATTTGTTTCCCATAGTGTGAAATCAGTGGCTTGAGCAGCTAAGCCAAGGATACACTGTACCTCCTGGAAATGGTGTTTTTCACTGTCTGTGGTTCAACACATTGAGTTCAATTCTGATGACTAGGATGAGACAGAACAACCCCAGAATAACCTGGCCCAGGGTGGCTGACCTCCTGAAAATTGGCCCCACCATTTGCTGGAATCAGACAGCCCACACCTTGATCTGCCTCTCTCTATATACATATGTTTGTCTCATCATGCATGAGTTCTCCTTTCTTGCTTTTTTTTTAAGCAGTAATCTCTCTAAAATCAAAAAGAGAGTCAGTGTATTTCCCACAGGTTCTACCTTTTATCTGAAAAGATAAACAGTTTTCCTTGTTGTAGTGTTGTTTTATTTTGTTTTTTACGCTTTTGGAAGGAGGGATGGACTTGACCAGTTTCATTGTTGATGTGTCGTATGTCTGTGTGGCATACATATGTATCACATAAAGACCAGCATGGCCAAGTTCTGTGGGAAGGCCACCCAGGTGCCGTGAGTGGGGTCTCCCAATCCTGAAGGGCCAAGGTGTATTCAAGACTCTACATTCCCACTTTTCTATGGAACCTCCCATGTCCCAGGGTGTTACCCGCAGCTGTCCGTCTGGATGGTGGTGATCACACCTCCATTAACATCCTTACCCAGCATTCTGTACTTCGGGGGCCTTCTCTCTTGTTATAAAACTTTTTACTGAGTGAAACATCAGCACCACCTTTGTTTCCATTCTCACTGCTGTAAATACTGAGTACTAACTGAGGATTTTGACTTTGCATTCTGTCAGAATACTTGTGTTCAATAAAAATTGAAAGAAAAAAAAGCAATTATAGTCAAACTTTGATTTCTTTCTGCGCAGTGAGAGAGAGTTGTGTTTGAATAATTGTAGGTATGCCTGTGTTCTAAGTTTTGGGTTTTTGTGATGGGTTGGTTGGTTTTAGGGTAGGGTTTGTGGTTACTTTTGTTTTAGGACTTAGTAAGTAATACCATTTTGTCTTAGACACATGTAATATCTTGGGTCTATAGTCCTAGTATTCAGTAAGCTGAGGCAAGAGAATTGTCATGAGTTTGAACTACATAGTAATTTCCAGATGAGCCTAGGCTACAATATAAGACCGTGTCTCAAACAAACAAAACAAAACAGAAAAAAAACTTGTGTGTGTGTATGTGTGTGTGTGTGTGTGATGTGTGGTGTGTGTGTGTGTGTGTGTGTGTGTGTGTGTGTGTGTGTGTGTGTCTTGAGTTCAGGTTGTCTGAATGGTTGTTTCTTTCCCTTTTTCTTAACTTTTGTTTTATTCCTTGTTAGAGAGTTCCAGTTTAAAGGGGCCAAACCTGAGACTCAAACGAACTTCATTCAAAATTTCAAAATCTTGGTTCTATGGATTCCTTACATGACCTTGGAGGAATTTTCTCATCTCTTCAAGACACTCCGTTTTCTCTTTTGCTAGACAGGAAGTCACTAGAACATGGTGGTGGGGTGTGTGTGTGTGTGATAGTGTTTTCTTGGCTCATAATAAAAATTCAATAAATAGGAATTAGTTCTGTTGGCATCACTGACAGTTTAGTTATAATAACAGCCAATACCTGAGCTTCAAAATCACAACCTTGAAGTGGATGCATGGGGCATTTTCCAGAATGACAGATGCCTCCCTCTCTCTTTGCCCTGCCTGTTGGCCTCTGAAGCCATCATTCATCCCTAGGAATTTGTTAAAGCAGGCAGAGTGCAAACTCGGAATTCTCTTGCATATGCTGCCCATTGGCTCTCTGCAAACAACCTGTACATTTGGAAGTGTCCATTAGACTATGGAGTTGGAAGGTTGCTGAAGGAACCCCAGCTGTAGGGCCAGGATGAGAGTGAACCAAGAGAGCTTCCTAGAGGATAAAATATTAGCAGGTACCAGTTCAAGATAACTTGGTCCTTGCACAAATCTAAGGATGACATCTTCACTCTGTGTCCAAGGTGCCTACCTCACTTGTTTATTATGACAAGATCAAACATCTCCAGGGAGTGCAGTTTTGGGCCTCTTCTGTTTTTCATCCTAATACCATGTCCCATGCAACTGTGCAGTTTCTTTCTCCACAGATTCCCAGAAGTGTATGTCAGGGGTGGATGGGGAAAAAAAGCTCACAGTTTATCCAGACATGCAATGAAGACTGTCTGCATTGACCCAAAGGAGCTGCTTCCCAAAGCTCCCTTGTTCCAAGTTATTTTCCTCTCAGACCCACTTAAAGTATAGAGTGTCTCCAACACGTAGTAGTGAGCAAATCTGCTCTGGTGGAAGCTACATTTGTGTATGAGAGTACACACACACACACACACACACACACACACACACACACACACACTAATGTGGTGGTTGTCAGGATTATTCACCAATACTCTCACTCTACTTTTCCTCCTTCCAGGCACATAGTGGCCTTGTACTCCTTGCTCACAAAGTAGGTATGACTGCGTGACTTGCTTTGGTTGATGAAATATAAGCACAAGTAATGTGTAGCATACCTAGATAGAGCTTTGTCGTGTCTTCCCCCAGTATACCAGTTAGTAGTGCTGGAGGCATCATGACCTGGGCTCAGAATGAGGAATGCAAACAGGAGACCCAAATGGTTAAGAACAGATCAGGGTAGGAGGGCATATGCGTGTGTTTATTATCAATTTTGTTGATATAAAGGGAGCAGTGTGGAAATTAGGTACATTATACTTTGTAGAAATTGTTGACACCCTGTTGATAGAGAATTCTTCAATTCATTTGTGTTGAAGTTGTGTATCTATAGTTAACCTATAGTTCCAGTTCATAAATGGGTGTGTTTCCAATCTGAATATTGATTGGTTTGCTTACTTGTGTTAGGAAGGGTTCTGTAGAACAGACCTAAGAGTCTCTCTCTCTCTCTCTCTCTCTTTATCTCTATCTATCTGTCTGTCTATCTCTTACACACACACACACACAGAGAGAGAGAGAGAGGAGAGAGAGAGAGAGAGAGAGAGAGAGAGAGGATTCATTGGATTAGCTAACAAGATAGGGACTGGGTAGTCTTAA